AGAGAAACACGTTTCCGCCGTCCGGACTTCCAACAAGGGACTCTCATATACAAGTTCCCTTTTTGACTTGCTCCCATTTTCGCACTGTATTTATTTTTATACGTGTCACAGAAATACTAAAAACTTCTATTAGAGCACACATACCTGATTTGATTTGTATTATGGCTATCACTACCTGTGCACTAATAAGTCTGCTCCTCGATGCGATCCATGAGTTGGTGAGAATAGGATAAAAGCCAGGCGCTTTTTCATTGAGCGACTGACAGACAGGCTTTAGAACACTGTGGTGCCCGCCTCCGATACCACTGATGATACTAGAATCCGTGAAAATAGGGAAATCTTTTGCCTCGAATAAAAAAGCTTAGTGACAGTCCGAAAAATAGTCCAATTTTGTTTCACATTGTTTTAATCTTTCTCACAGATCGAACACTGGGAAATATTTGCGTTGTTTGGACAATCCCGCAAATTGGATTTGAGTGTAGGCATCTGAGCGCCTGGTGGGAAGAGTGGAATCTTGATGTTCAGAGAGCAGGACCCGGATCTGGGTGGTTCTGAAGCCTTCACTGGCGGAATTCCTGCACGGCTCCTGGGACCCTGTGGTTTTTCTTTGTTCCGTTCTCCTTAAAACTTCTTCTGGGCACTCAGTCTGCCGCTTCGACCATGGTAGTTATTCTCAGTCCGTTTATAAACGCGCCAGCGTCTAGACAGCGTTTGTTAGTAAGTGATGTCCGAGGCTCTTTGGCAGTGAAAGCTGGAGGAATTCACGACAGCCGAACTCCGACTGCTGGTAGGTGTGCAGTGAGAACAGGGTGGCTGAGCTCGTGCTTTGCACAGGTCTGTGAACCCGAGAACGTCAATAGCTCAACATGCAATAATGCGTGCGTCAAATGTAGGTGCATATGTGTGCATATCCGTACAGATCCGTACAGCTGCAAACTGGATGATAAGAGGACTGGACGAAGTGCTCCGGTTCTGAAGAGCTTTCTCATTATGCGCCTGAAAATGTTATCGAGACGAATTCATAGGAGTTCCGGAACGTCTTAAGGGGAAGAAATGGCGTGCCGCCAACAGCTGCCTGTCGACCGATGAATCTGCAGACGGGATGTAAATTCTGTGCGTTTTCTACGTCAACAAAATCAAGACTAATAAAACAGAGAAAACGTTGGTGTACCACAATACTGATTGATGATTGTCTGCGCGAGGTGCGAAGAGGAGCTGAGAGCCATCATTCCCTATCTCATAGGACAGGATCTTCAAAGGTTGGGCGTGAAATGTATCACGTGGCATGGCTCGATCGATGAGGCGAATGATCATGGTGCTCGGTTCTTCGTGCGGATTACTGTTCTAGAAAGACCCGAATCAACTAAGAGTATAAGTTGCTTCTGGCAACCTCATCTCATAAAATCGAATGTATATATGGATCAGCTGTGGGGAGCTGTTTCGTATTCATCATAGTTTTACCCCCAAAATAGTAAGATACATGGTAAAACATGTTGAAGTTATCAATATAAGCATACATATATAGGTATATATGGTTTGGTTGATGTCTGCGATGAGGAAGGAACTCACCAGTACGGCGCAAACAGTTAAAATCAGAAGAGCGGCAGTATAACCTGCTCTCTTGTTCATGATTGTTTCGTTGTATGCGTTCAAACATGTCTACTAATATAAATCCATCGAGCCATGCACAGACGTACAGTAACACCCACGAACGTTGAGCCAATGGGATCGGGCCAAGCTCACTGGCAGAACGCGTTTAGCTAAGTCTGCAAGTCATCTTCTAACCAGTTTCAAAATGAATCATGTAGGCATACATGTCAGACGGCTTTTTCTTACGTCTCACTTGCAGCAGAAACTGTCCAGCAGACGTCGTTATAGGCGGAAATGCGGGGACGGGCCAATTGGATTTTGGCATTACATCAGGGAACAGCCAGATGATTTGGTGCTCGAAAACGGTATGAATTCATCTCATTTGTTATTATTACCAATAAGAGGCCTGACCCGGTGAAGGTAGACTTTTTCTACATCTGTTTTCCGGGGTCAAATAAATAAGCGAAGCAAACGAGATGGACCGGCAATGCGATTAAACTTCAAAATGACTAGGAGAAAAATCGGTTTTTGGCGAAGCTGGTGTGAGTTTGATGAATCACGGGAAGATGACAAGTCATTTTCCGAACAAGCGAGGCCAAGGTCTACACAGAGCATTTTTCGGATTCAAAGCCCTGGATTGAACATGCGGAATCCGACTACCTTCAGGGTGAAAATGAGTCCATTTCTTGTAAACTTCGATATGGTTGCCCCCCAAAGATAACCCGAAGCGTCTCCCTGCAACATACTACTCACAAGATTACTGAAAACTCTTCGACAGTCTATTACTGGTGTCATCAGGTAGGATTCAAAGCCCTGGATTGAACATGCGGAATCCGACTACCTTCAGGGTGAAAATGAGTCCATTTCTTGTAAACTTCGATATGGTTGCCCCCCAAAGATAACCCGAAGCGTCTCCCTGCAACATACTACTCACAAGATTACTGAAAACTCTTCGACAGTCTATTACTGGTGGTCATCAGGTAGGTGTAGCCTCAACATTAGGTTCAACTTCAACTCAAATTATATGAATTAGGGAAATACGGTCATTTGCGCACCAGTTTGGTTTCAACGGAAGACTCGACCGAATGCGCTGTACAAAGGCATTCTCATGTTTAAGTTGGCACAACAACTGAGATATCGCAGCACACTCAGTTGAAGTATATCTCAGACGAGAGATTTAACCGGGACCCAGCTAACCCAATGCAGGTTCTGCAGTTAATTTGAACCAAACATTTGAGTTGTCCCACTAACCATTGATTTTTGTATCCGGACCCTGTGAATACCTCTGTCCAATCACATTTGTGTGTTATTCGACCACACAACCCGATTGTGTGCACTGAAGTTGTGTTTGAACGTACACTGGACTCTGTTTATGTGAGTGATTGAACGTGACCGTGGATGAATGTGCCATTCCGCTTTATTCTCACGGCTGCTATTATGGGGAGATCTGAGAATTTCAAAAGGCACTTCATCCTGTAAACAAAGTCAGTCTGTGTACAGCTGGTCCATAATTGATGAAATGCCCAAGAAACTCTAGAGTGATTTGATGGGATACTAAACCGCCCGGACACGAAAGGCTGATCAGCAGAGTGGATACCTCACTCTCATACATGATATAACCCTAATCATTCTTCAGTCGCGGAATCTACGTCACGTGGTCACGTGTAGATTGACCGCATGATCAACAACTTTTCAGCTGAATGGTTCAAATCGCCTACAAAGTGTTGACAATATGAGGAGATTTCAACTTTCAAATGAGGCACCGTGCCTTCCTAGTTTAGCTTCTGGCGTGTACTTACGCAAGGAAGAGATCAGCGAAATCTTAATGCACTCTATTTTTGTATTTTGGATTATCCGGTCTGCTTATCGGTAAAAATTTGTTCGTTTTCCCGACAAGGATTTAAGAAAACCACGTAATTAGCCGCCTAATTAAATCAGATCACTGTTTATTGAAACTGTTCCAGATAGAACACATCTCCATCTACAAACAATAGATTCCATCTGTTCTTGTCTACCAAAATGTTTCTATCCAATCAAGACTCCCACAACCAAAGAGGCCTGAGCTGAAGTTTCATACCCACAACGATGTTTTGTTAGTTCATGTATGTCAGTGGTTCTTGCTGTCTGTTAATTGTGCTAATACGCTGCTCGCTGATGGGGCCCTCCCTTAATTGCTGAGCTGTTTCAGACATCCGGTTCTGCGGACCAATAGCTCCATGGCACAAGTGTAGGCGATGCTTTGTCAGCACAAGCTCGGCACGCCCACATGACAGGGGTCAATCCACCACTTGTGCTACAAATCGCCAAAAAAACATTTACAAGTCCTGGAAGATAGTACTTATTGACGGTGAGTTGTGTCAAGTATTGTGTTCTATGACTTCATTTTAACGGACCGAATAAAACTAATACCCCAGATGTTGAGGGCGGAAAACACTGCACATTTGGGGTCAACTTGCAAAGAAATCCAACCAGTGCTCTTTGGACACTGGGCGTTTCTTTTTTTGCAAAACGCTTTCGACCCGCCACACAGCAGACTGGATTTCCCGGAATAAAGTGCTGATAAACTATGAATCGTTTATTTTTGTAATGCACTATTCATAAAGTTGCTGAAAACTCCTCGACAGCCCACGACCGGTTCGCCCTTCTTGGGGCTCATCAGGTAGGCACTGTTCCCGAGTTTCCGTCAACCGTATGTCCCAACTGAAACCAATCGCTTAGTTTTACGAATTTTTTATTAAGGGCTGTTAATGCCTTTGTAGCGACCCAGTCACCCGCATACTTGACTGTTCTGCTCACAGTCGCTCACTGGATCGCGAGGCTTGTCTTCTTTCTCATACGCACAAACACGTCGCATTAAGCTGACTCATCGAACATCGATTGTCTGCACCGCCTAGTCAGCGTAGCAACCACTCATGTGCCGACGCGCCCACATACACGCACTGGGACCTACAAAAAGGCAAACCGAACCCAGTCAGGACACAAAGACTCGCGCGCGCGCGCAGGGAGCAGGGCGTCAACCTCTCCACAAGTCCACGGACAACTATGGAGTACGTGTAGCAGTCTAACTGCGGAGAGAAACACGTTTCCGCCGTCCGGACTTCCACCAAGGGACTCTCATATACGATAAGTTCCCTTTTTGACTTGATCGCATTTCACATTGTATTTATTTTATACGTGTCGCAACCATGTTAAAAACGTCTATTAGTGCATATTCACCTTCTGATTTGTATTATGACTATCATCACCTGTGCACTAATACGCTCGTTTGTTAGCAAACACTCTTGGTTCTTTCAAACCAATGAAAAGAACAGCAATCCAGATTGGGAGGAGGAACTGGCACAGAGTGTAAAGTCGGAATGGGGAAAAAGTTTGGAAAATCAACAGCAGGATGCAGTTTTGGTTAGCCGGGACTGATTGCTTAAGACCGATGCCAGCAGGCATTTGGGCGACGCCCAGAATTTGTTTGCGAGCAGCGCCGGCAACTGGATTTTCTATTGAGCGCCTGAAACGCGAGCTCCCGGTGTGTTCATTCGAATTGCCGCGGACTTTTGAAGTTGTAATCCGTGTTTGTTAGGTACTAAATATCTCCACGTTCCAGAACGCATGTGCTTTCTGGGTCCAGACATCCATAAACTATTCTATGGGTACAAAAGCATTGTCATCAGTGCTTCCTTGTTGAAGAAACCCTAGGACCAAAAGGGGTGGATAGTAAACCAATGTTGAATGCGACCTAACAATGTTGCGTGCGCCTTCAGACAAGTGCTTCTGATTCGTAAGTACAATTTGAGGCCAAGAGGTAGTAGACTCGATTGCGTTCAAGGTGGAAGCAAAATGAACAAACGTTTCCTAATGAGGGTACGGATAAACGTTTTGATGAAGGCCAGCTGTGCAAGTTTCGTTTCAAAAATAAATGAACCAGTCGATGAACGATGTTTTTGGCGGTCCGTTAAAGGCACACGCAAGTCAAGTCAGGAGGTGTGCATAATCGATGGACGAATTCTCAGAGCTCACTGCGCAGAAGACGCTACACAAGGATAACGAAACTAGTAAGTATATCGAGAAATACACTCACCGAAGACTCAACTGAATCTCTCGTTTATGATATCCTCCAATTGAATGTGCTGCACACTGGCCGATTCATGATTCAGTTGGCATGATATTCGAGTATATTTTCATAAAGGAAAATACTCACAAGGTTGATGACATCATAAACGAGAGATTAAATCGAGTCTCCCGTGAAAATCAAATTGGTATGCAAATGAGTCTAATTTGGGTTCAAATAGAACATAAGGTTGACGGAAACTCGGAGACTGCGCCTACCTGATGAGCCCGAAGTGGAAGGGCGAAACCGGTCGTGGGCTGTCGGAGAGTTTTCAGCAACCTTGTGAGTAGTTTCCTTTATAGTAAGTATATCGTTAAATAAAGTGTTTCATTTTTACCAAAAACGGTGCAATCCAACATCAGACAAGGGTGGTTTGAAGCGTGCGTATTAAGTAAAGTGCAACAGAATTCTGGTTAGTAGTCGACTGCGAAGAATCGTGTTTCATGATGAAATTGCAAATTGACTTTGGTGATTCAGCATATCCGGTTAGGTCATCTGAACAGAAACGCTACAAGCCACAAGCTATTCTGGTGAAACCATCCTTGATTAACCATCCGAAAAATAAAATATTCAACAAACACCTTTCTTTATGAAGCCACCAACAGTGAACCGGTATGAATTAAATAACTGTAGAAGGAGTCAAAGACAATATGGGGTTCAAAACCCCCCCAGTTGTAACGTTTTCCGCTGTTGATGAATACCGGTAAATTAAATGCACACGAACAGTTCACCGGGTGACCACGTTGACCTATTGAAGTTCCGCAGTTTGCATCTGCTCAAGAAAACAGATGTGTTGTGGAGTCAGTTCCACAGACATCCAACTGTATGACACTGATTTCGCATTCACCACAAGTACGCTTAAAAGGATAGAGGATGGACACGTTGAACCGACTTCAGAAATTGTGGTTTTGACTGGGAACAACTGGAGAACGGATTTAATTTACTACGTTCAGCTTATCGGCTGGAATTTAGTACGTTGTTTGTTCTGTCAAGCCAAAGTGTGATCTGAAGCCCGGATTCCTGAGAGGAAAAGTGTCTTGACGACGGTTGTCCGGAACCGTTTATTCACAGACTCCTTTGCTATGAAGAGGCTCGTTCACCCAAATTGAGGGCACAGATGTAAGACCTACTTTGGTCCGTTCCATTTGGAGGACGTACGTCCTTCCGGTTGTCAGGTAAGACCTTTTCCTGATGTTGGATATCGATTCCACCTGCATAGATAGGAAAATGATACCGATATGCTAAATTAGTAGTTGTGTAAACTTTAAAACACGAAATACATGGTGGCAAGGAGAGGGTCTGAAGGTTTGGAAATCTCGACCAACAAGATAATCGAATTCCTAGACTGCTGATGTGGAATGTCGTCAACTCACCCATGATATCCATCACATACACTGATTCCTTTTCGCTTTCGCCAATTTCATCGCCTGTGTACTGTTTTTTATTAAGGCACTCCTTCTGGACACACTGTGAATACAAGAAGTAGTATTCTTGTGACATCGATCGTCGCTGTCCGCATCCTTTTCACTGATATGGCGAAAGTGAAAAACATTTTATAGTCAGCTTGATGTCCTATTTCCCCTGAGCAGCTTAGTGCAAAGTTACGTAGTAGGAAAACTGCCCTTCTCTGAACCTTGTCAGTCCGATCCGAAATAGCATGTGGAAATGTAGACTGAGTCTCGAGTCCCTCAGATTTGAACGGTTGAACACAAATCGGGTAGTTAATAGATATCATGACACAGTACACCATAGTTTAAACCCCAATTGCTAAGCGGACCGGTTTTCCAGTTCGGCATACTACCACATTCGCAGCACTGACTTCTTATCGACGTTTGAAAAAGAATGCTTGTTGAATGTGTTTTTTGTTATCACAAAGGCTAATTGTGAGCATACTGCCGAGACATTTTTGTCCTCCAACCAATAAAGTTCTCGTTGAGATTCTGTTTTTATCCGCATAAACTATAGCGGCCTGGAGCAGCACATTCAATAGCTTGAGAAACATCTGGTGAGTCCCCCGCAAGTGAGTGTGTTTCGCTAACTTCGTACAATTTAGGTTAAACTAGAACAAAGGTTGACGGCCGAGACATTTTTGTCCTCCAACCAATAAAGTTCTCGTTGAGATTCTGTTTTTATCCGCATAAACTATAGCGGCCTGGAGCAGCACATTCAATAGCTTGAGAAACATCTGGTGAGTCCCCCGCAAGTGAGTGTGTTTCGCTAACTTCGTACAATTTAGGTTAAACTAGAACATAAGGTTGACGGAAACTCGGGGACTGCGCCTACCTGATGAGCCCGAAGTGGAAGGGCGAAACCGGTCGTGGGCTGTCGTGGACTGTATATGACATGAAGTGTTCTTTGCATTGGTTGAAATAATTCAGTTTCCCGTACAGTCTGATCTGGAAATATTTGCGCACAGCAGTCCGTAATTCTTAACTACTTAACGCGTTTTACAGTTTCCGAAGCTAACTTTCTATCCCGTGACTCTGCAAACTTTGACAGATAACCGTTTCTTGGCATCTTCGGATTAGCCAAACAATTTTCGGCATTATTTTTCCGGTTCAAATGCCCCTTGTTCTATGCTGACCAGGATGTTTCCTGAGAATGAGCACGAATCTATCTTACCGATTTTGTTTCCGTCCGAACTGTGCTGGAGTAGACCCTCTCTATATCCTTAAAATATCGCAGCCTACACCGACAGCCCGTCGAAAACGTTAGGCTTGCTGGCACAGCTGAATAAGGAGAGCGTGAATAAAGATCTGTCATGTGTATAGGAGACTGCTTTGATTGACAACAATGCTTGATTACTCTCGCTAGTTGATCCACCGCATGACTGCAAAAGTGGGTCACCTTAGCACATATTTGCAAGCTATTTTACTCGTAATGAGGCGGTTCAGGCTCAGTTGAAACTAATACCGAGAAATACCACCTTCATATGTTTGGGTAGCACATGGTCCCAGTAGAATAAGAAGTGCGAGTGA